TTGTCTATGGCAGCGGTTCTCAACCTATGGGTCGCGACCCCATTTGGGGTCGATCGACCATTTCACGGGGGTCGCCAAGCAAGGCTGTCCGCCATTTTTTCCCCCCTTTTCCGGCGGGTGCCTTACCTCCCTTGGGCTGGGCCAGCTGGTGGTCGGCCTGCTCCGTCTCTGCCGCTTGCCAGCTACACCTCGGCCAGTGCAGGGGGCGGAACCACGCATGTGCGGCGCTCCCGGGCAGGGAAAGTCCTCGACTTACGACCGGTTGGGTAGTGACTTATGACCGGTTTAGTCCTTGACTTACGACCGGTTTAGTCCTCGACTTATGACCGGTTTAGTCCTCGACTTACGACCGGTTGGGGTCGCGGCATTAAAAAGGTTGAGAACCACTGGTCTATGGGGATAAATGTTTTTTTTTTTCCTTAGGCTTTGTAGTGCATTTCATACATTCTAATCATGTCCACTAAGTTAACACATTAAAGGAACACAGAAACCTGGACTAGTTTATGTTTATAGTAGGGATCACCATCTCCTTCAGGAGGTTTGAGATTGTTTATCAATCCACAATATTTTATTATATGAAAATAATTTAATGAATACTACTTTAACTAATAGTACTATGAAATACAATAACAGCAGCAGCATCAACATCGACCCCTTGAATGGTCTCATTGATCACTTTGTTGGGTTGATATTGACCACTTTGGGCAACCCTGGTTTATGGCTTGAGATTTGATGTGAGCCTGTGTTGTTTGATTAGTGTATGGTGCCCTACACAGGTCCATTCATTTAACAGGATAAGTCTGTTAACACGGGGGGGGGGGGATTTTGATTCCCTATGAGAACTACTTTGCTTCAGGCCAGAGGTCTTTGTCTGAATTTGGGGATTTAGGAAGCATAAGAAAAAGGAAGTACTGACAAGGTTGCCTCTGGCTAAGATTAAACAGCATGAAGAAAAATATAAAAGCTGGCGCTCCCTTCCATGTAGGTATTCTAAACCAGTGTTTCTCAATTCAACAACTTTAAGATGGGCAGACTTCAACTCTCATAGTATGTACAGTATACGGCAAGATTTATGTAGGTCATTTAAACAGTATTTTCTCAACCTTGGCAACCTTAAGCTGTATGAGTTTTAACACCCAGAATTCCCCAGCCAGCAATACTGGCTGGAGAATTCTGGGAGTTGAAGTCCACACATTCTGAAAGCAGCCGAGGTTGAGAAAATACTGTTTAAATGACCTACATAAATCTTGCTGTATACTGTACCTGATATCCAGATAAGGCTTGGGAAACTGTCCATGCCCTAAAACAATGATAATCATTTGGCAGATTTGTCATTACCAAACAAAAATCATTTTATTTTAATGAGAAAAGAGGGAAAGAAGACAAAAATGAGTCAGAGAGTTTAAAAAAAAAAAAGAGTATTCAGAAATCAAAATGAGATTGCCCTACTTTAATTTTTCTTTTGGCTTAGTGTGTTTTTTTCATTTTGTCTTTCCCCTTCCCACCCTTGTGCCACTTTGCTAAGTCATTGGCACCATGCCTCTCCTCCTGCCTTTTGTCATTTATCATGTATAAGAATATCATAACTTTTCATAACTTATTGATTTCCAGTGCTTGCACATATTTGTAACCACATTTGAATTGACCCAGCAAAGAGATTGCCTTAATACGGATTTTTGTGGCATAAGAAAATGCTTCAGATTCGCAGCTCAGCAAAACTAGCTCTTAGCTAGTTGGAAAGCCCGAGGTGTGAAGCCACTGTTTAAATCCTACATTCCAAACATGGTTTGAACAAGCTGGTGGTCCACCCAGCAAATGTTGGCACATTGGCAACTTTAGAGAACTGGTGTGAGATTACAGAGCAGGGGGGAGAGTTTAGCTCAACAGTTTGTTCATCCTTAACCTTCTCTTGAAGTTTTGGCCAGAAGGTGGCCCACCTCCTGGTTAAAGTGGATCACACTAATTTCTTTGTTCTCTCTGACCCACTGTGCTACTGATGTGTGTGGAGCACACAAGATGATTTATCTAAACTGAACGCAAATATTGGATTTTCCACTGTGGTTACAGGCACTCTACAGTGCCTTTACCTCTCCTTTTATAGCTTCCAGAAAGTTCTCTTTCATCCCATTGAACTTCAAGAAGACTGTAGCAGAGTCTAGGTTGCAGGCCACCAAGATGTGTGGGGAGCCAGAAACTTTCCTTCAGGGCCCCCATGAACTGGGGAACATATTTGAGGACAAACGTTAAGTGGAAAAATTCATCTGATCCATACTTTTTAAGTCAATTCACCTAATTATCCTTCGGTTTCCAGCAGCTTCCGCCAGCCAAGGCCAAATGTGAGGAATGATGGGAGCAGTAACATCTGGAGGGCAACAGATTTTTCATCTTTACCTCATAATACTAAGTAATTACTTTGTGTGAAAAATATATTCCCCAAGCAATTGACTGCATGGCGTCGTTTACTGAAGGAGACATTTCTTAAAGCCTGTAAATGCATTGTAGGAGATCTCATTATGTGCCCCAGGTGAATTTATTTAATACAGCGTGATCACAGTCTCCTTGAATATCTTATAGGAGGCATGTTAGCCAGCAGGTGCAAGTTTTGTGCAAAACAAAATATATATTGTCTGTGCTAGAACATCTCAGAAAATCTGGGCCTAATAGGAAAAAAAAGACGAGGGCTGGAGGGCAGAGGAGCCTTTCAAAATCCTTCCCCAAATTTATGATTGAATAAATTGATTCCCCCAATTTCTCCAGAGGCAGCAGAAATTCTCCAATATTTCCTCATGGGAGTAACTCTCCCTAAATCAGAGGTCCCCAACCTTTTGGGCACCAGGGACCGGTTCCGTGGAGAGAGGTTTTTCTGTGGCCCGAAGGGGGCCTGGTTTCATGTACTACCTGCATCCCGCGGATGGGGCCTTGCTTGTTTGCATAGACCGGTTTCTGGCATGCCGCAGCCTGGTGCCGGTCCACAGACCAGGGGTTGGAGACCCCTGCCCTAAATGGAGATCAAAACACAGCTCCTATGTCTTCCCTTTGTATTAGAGACTGTGTTACATAGTGCTGACATTGTTGGATAAGGAACCTGAAGACCCACTTAGTCATAGCTCCCTAAACAGCTTTGATCGTCCTTCTTTCTCAACGCAATCTATCTCACAGGGTTGATGTTGTGGGTAAAAGTAGGAAGAGGGAACGTAATGGATGGCCCCCTGAGCTCCTGAATCAGCAAGCCAACCAGTTAAAGTAAATAGCTAAATGATAGTGTAGAAAGCCAGGAAAGTGGTAGATTGCCGGA